GGTTTTGTACACTATTTGAAACGGTATAAGTTTTGTACAGTATTTTAGACAGAATGACTTAAGTATGCTATTTGAGATAGTGTAAGTTTTGTACAATATTTGAAATAAAATGACTTAAGTATGCTATTTGAAACAGTATAACTTTTGTACACTATTTCAGACGGAATAACTTTCGTATACTACTTGAAACAGTATAACTAAACATATAATTAATTATATGCTTAAGATATAATTACTTATAATTAATTATATGCTTAAGATATAATTACTTATAATTAATTATATGCTTAAGATATAATTACTTATAATTAATTATATGCTTAAGATATAATTACTTATAATTAATTATATGCTTAAGATATAATTACTTATAATTAATTATATGCTTAAGATATAATTACTTATAATTAATTATATGCTTAAGATATAATTACTTATAATTAATTATATGCTTAAGATATAATTACTTATAATTAATTATATGCTTAAGATATAATTACTTATAATTAATTATATGCTTAAGATATAATTACTTATAATTAATTATATGCTTAAGATATAATTACTTATAATTAATTATATGCTTAAGATATAATTACTTATAATTAATTATATGCTTAAGATATAATTACTTATAATTAATTATATGCTTAAGATATAATTACTTATAATTAATTATATGCTTAAGATATAATTACTTATAATTAATTATATGCTTAAGATATAATTACTTATAATTAATTATATGCTTAAGATATAATTACTTATAATTAATTATATGCTTAAGATATAATTACTTATAATTAATTATATGCTTAAGATATAATTACTTATAATTAATTATATGCTTAAGATATAATTACTTATAATTAATTATATGCTTAAGATATAATTACTTATAATTAATTATATGCTTAAGATATAATTACTTATAATTAATTATATGCTTAAGATATAATTACTTATAATTAATTATATGCTTAAGATATAATTACTTATAATTAATTATATGCTTAAGATATAATTACTTATAATTAATTATATGCTTAAGATATAATTACTTATAATTAATTATATGCTTAAGATATAATTACTTATAATTAATTATATGCTTAAGATATAATTACTTATAATTAATTATATGCTTAAGATATAATTACTTATAATTAATTATATGCTTAAGATATAATTACTTATAATTAATTATATGCTTAAGATATAATTACTTATAATTAATTATATGCTTAAGATATAATTACTTATAATTAATTATATGCTTAAGATATAATTACTTATAATTAATTATATGCTTAAGATATAATTACTTATAATTAATTATATGCTTAAGATATAGTTACTTATAATTGATTATATAATATAATTACATATAATTATTCATATAATCATATAATTACTTATAATTAATTATGTAATCATATAGTTACTTATAATTAATTATATAATCATATAATTACTTATAATTATTTATATAATCATATAATTACTTATAATTAATTATATAAACATATAATTGCTTACACATTTCAAAATTTTACGTTTAAAACTCAATATTAATCACAGATTGGTAATCGGAATGATTGAATTTACTTCAGAAACAGAAGAAGGTAAATCGTGTTGTCGAACGATTTTAACGAAGCTTTCATTAAAATCGCGTTTCGCGCTCGTTTCCACATTTTCGCTAATAATTTTCCTCCCCGGTAATAACAGCCAAGTGTAAATAATCATTAATACCTCGAATACGAAACATTCCACTGGAAAATCATTTCCGACCATGATCACCGGTACAAATTCGCTCCTGTGTATCTATTTTTTTAAGCATTTTCCTCTCATTTCCAAGCGCGAATAGGATTTTTCCCTCTTCAACCACGCTTTTTCTCGGCGCCGTTGAAACACGATACCTGTTGTCCGGCCAGCGCATCCCCTGTGCTCCTGTTATTTATTGAAAATCAGCAACAACGGGGGCCCAGAGTTTACGCGGTGCTCGCGACTGGCACACCGCTTACGCGAGGAAAACACGCGTCGGTTTTCCCGCGCTTTCGAGAATTCGCGTCGCCAACCGAATCTTTGGCTACTCGCAATTGTTGCAACCGCTTGCAGACGTCCACGTGGTTTCTGGAGGTTTCGTATTTTTAGAACGGCCGCTCGTAAACCTATTTCACGAGACACTTATCACGTTGATATTTTCAAAGCGAGGGCGCCGCGTAAACAATTTCACGCGTGCTCCCGAATATTACAGAAATCATAGAGATTACACGTCGATCACGAGCGTTCGCGATAACAGACGACAATTTACGGGAATCGCAGATTTCGTGGCTTTTGAATTTTAGCCGAATATGTTTAGAATTCCAGTTTCTGCGCGGCCATCATGTCGCGAATCTTTGCGCGCTTATGGCGCGTGCAAATTTCCAAAATACTATAATAATATAATATTATAACTATATTATATAATTATAATATTATAATATTATAATAATATTAATAATAATAAATTATTATAATATTATAATATATATATATATATATATATATATATATTATTAGATATTAATATAGTATTTTATACTATATATTATATATATTATTATTTTTTATATTATTATCTATATTATTTTATATTATTATACTTATATTATATACTATAGTATTTTATATATATACTACAAATTAGCTATTGAAACCGTAATTTTAGTGAAAAGAAAAACATATCCTCGAATTTCTCAAGATGTGTAGAATATTTTTAGGCCAATCTTACACCGAGGTGTTTATATTGTTATAAAAATTGCTCGATTCCCGCGACACAAAGGTCGACTCCCGCGCTCCTAAAAAACGGCGCCACGGCTAACCGATTGAATCGTCGCATCCTCGCATTCAAAGTGCGCCGAATTATTATATTCTTATCGCTGAAAGCTGCGTCGTAAAGCGCGAACGTTCGAAGCGAGTCGCGAAGACTTTGGACTCGCGCGGCGCGTCTTTCGGCGCTCGGTGATATATCGCGAATGAAAACCTGCGTTTTTTCGATCACGGCCCCGTTAATCCAGATACCGAGGGGGGGCCGCGTGCGAAACGATGACCCGCCGAAACGCGTATAAATAACAGCCGCGAGACTTTGACGGCCGAATTGAAATCGAAGGCGGAGGCGAATGAGGGCGGCGCGAAGGATTTCTGGATCACGCGAAAGAAAAACCGAGCGCGATGTGTCGGTTCAACTTTCGCCGGCATTCGGCACTCGTATCGTAATAACGCGTGTAAGTACGGCCAATTATCGCCGGTGGAAATTGCACGGTCACGTGATAGCCGAGATTGATGCCGCGTGTAATTTTTCTGCCATTTTCGACGGTTGTCGGAGGCTGCTGCCGTTGGCGGCGAGGGCCGCCGTCATTCCTCGTTCTGGCAGATCGTCGAGCGAATACGTCTTGTTGCGTCAACGCTTCCCCCATGATTTATGGGCACAATGCAAAATTGGGAGCCCTTGATAATAGCCGCGGAACACCGGGCAACTTTCTCCTGAACGAGCGCCCGACGAAAATGTTTCTTGATCTCTCGGCCGTCTTCTCGGCATTACGATTCGCGGCGCAATCGAATGTTACGAAATCCAAATGTTCCGCTGGAAAAGCTGGAAATTTTTGTTGGAATTGTTTCAGTGGGAACAATGGTGACCGTCCGGTGATCCGATCGTGCGTTTCGTTATCGCTGGACTGCGGAACTTCGCGCAGGATGAAAATTTTCTTAACGAAACGCGAAGCACAGAAGGTTATTAACAATCTGTGTTTCTTCTTTTTCTTCTTTTGATCTTCGTTTATCATTTCACATATCGTAAAACTGTTTCTGTGAGACACTTTTTAACGATCTTCTTGCATCGAGCAGAAATTATGATTGGAATCGTGAGCAATAAATGGAATCTTGTCGTTCTTATAGAATAATATTCATTAGTCGCGTTTAGGGTTCGATTGTTCTGGTGTAAAATTTTTCATTTTCAAAATATTGAATTTAGAAATTTGCAATGATTTTTTTTATGATTTTTTATCAGTTTTTAT